GGGGGGGGGCTTGGGGTCCCCAGGGTCCAACCCCCAGGAGGTTCAGGCCCCTGCGGCTGGAGGTGGGCACAGCTGGGTTGGTATCCCCCCGCAGAGACCCCCCAGGTTGAGATGGGGGGGCCTGAGGCCACACAAGAGACCCCCCCATACAGGGGGGTGCGGGGGCAGGCAGCGCGTGTCCCCCCCCCATCCCATAAGGTCCCTGGCCTGTTATGGGGGGGCTGAGACCCCAAGGGGGGGGCAAACTCCTTTATGGGGGGGCTGGACCTTCCTGGAGGGATTCAGGCCTGTTATGGGGGGCTGAGACCCCAAGGGGCGGGGCAAGCCCCGTTATGGGGAGGGGTCCGGGGCTGTCACCCTGTGGGTGCTGCAGGACTTGCCTGTGGGGAATGGCCCTGGGGGGAGGGTCCTGGCCCCCGTGGGGGATCTGGGATGTTCCTGTAAGCATGCTGTCCCCGTGCTAGCAACTGTGTCTGCAGCCCCCGACCCCCACGTATGCAGCCCCCTCTCCCTGCATGCATCATCTCTCCCCCGTCCCTGCCTTCGTCGGCCAGCGGGAGACACAGGCGACTGGGTGATGGTTCCCCTGCTCTCCCCACAGCGCTGCCGGGGCTCAGGGAGGTTTGTTGGCCAGCCACGGGAGGCTGCTGCTCCATCAGCTTCAGGTGGCAGCTCGTAGCCCTGGGGTGTGAGATGCTTAGCAGCTTCGGAGCCTTCCCCATGATCCCGGGGAGACCTCGGGGAGGCTGACACAGTCACGGGTCCTCAGGTCCCTCCAGCCCTGGGGTTTCTGCCCCCAGAGCCCCTGAGATTGGGGCCTGCCCGAGCCGTAGTGAGGGAGTGCCCCAAATAACAAGCCCGTGAGAACCTCGGCTGTCTCGGTGCCGCTTACCCACATGTCCCCGTGTCCTGAGAGTCCCTGTGTGGCGTGGGAGGGGGAGGGCTCAGGGGTGCCTGGTCTCTCCCTTGCAGAGCTTGGCCCCTCCACGGCACAGCGCAGCAGCCTGAGCACGAGCGCCAGGAGATGAGCGTGGAGACGGTGGCTTCAGACATGGACGCCCTGTGCCCCGAGCTACTGCTCCCTGCCCCGGCGGACACAGGGCGCAGCAGAGGCCCTGATGCCGGCATGGTGGAGCCATCGGCGCTGGCTGTGAGGCAGAGCCTGTTGCTGGCGGAGGGGGTGCCCGCGGGAGTGCAGGACGTGGAGATCTTCATGGAGGCCGTGGCGGGCAACGTGGCGCTGAGCAACCCGGGCAGTGCCACAGGTACGGGCGAGCGGAGGCGTGTGTGGGTCGTGGTCCCCATGGCTTTGCATCTCAACACTCCTTAGGCAGCTAGAACCAGGCCAAAGGGTCGGCCTGGCCTGGAGCCGCAGGCATTCACAGAGCAGGAGGAACCGTCTGGGGGCTGACCTGAGCCCGCAGACCCTGGGCTGTCAGCAGGGGCTGGACACATGAACTCGGACCGAGCAGACCCTGGCTTTGTACATAGATGCGAGTTACCCCAGGGTCTGAAGCACAGGATCACAGAGCTGGAGGGCTGGCAGGGATCTGTGGAGGTCACCTAGTCCCAGCCCAGGCTGAGGCAGGATCCGCCCAGACAAACCCTGTGGGCGACATTGGAGCCACATGACACAGTCACCCCTGACACGGCCTCAGGCATTGCCTCCACCCCTGCCCCTGGGAAACCAGGGGGGCTGTAGCTGCCAACATCCTGCTGCTGCCAGGGAGGTTGGTGGGTGCTGGAGAGAGCCCAGGCCCAGGCTGTGCCCCCACTGCAGAGGGAGGGGAAATCCCACCCTGGCTGGGCCAGGCTGAGCAGGGGGCAAATCCCTGCCTGCCCCACCAAGGGGGGGCAAGAACTGCCAGCCAGGACCCTGCGGGGCTGAGTCCCTGCCAGAGCATTGGCACAGCCCCAGCCTGGGCTGCAGCCAGCACCTCGCGGGGTGGGGCACTTACAACATAACCAGGGTTGATGTCTCAGCAGCTGACTACAAGGAGATGGGGGAAGCCACAGTGGTGATGCTTGGGCTTTGGATCCAGCCTGTGGCCTGCGTTGTCTGACCCGTGGGGCTCCCTAGGGGTCTGAATATCAGGCAGTGGGGCAGGACTGTGCTCCCAGCCATTCAAGCAGCCACTGCTTCCCCCTGCAAACAACTGTGGGGACTCGCAAGGAGCCTCACAGGCTGGATGACATGGAGCCATGCCAGGCTGGATCTAGCCTGTGGACTGATAGAACCGGATAGGTAGAATTGCCTGCATTAAATCAGTGGCTGTGGCAGGATGGGCTGCAAATACACCACACCTTCCCCAGGGTCCCTTCTGCTGAGGGAGCGCTACAGAGGGGCCAGGCTGGTTGCCCTGGTCTCCTTTGGTGGGGGGCAAACTGGTCCCTCTGATGTAGATGGGGCTTGTAACTGTTCCCTGAGACTTTCACTGCTTTGCTCAGTGCCAGCCTGTCTGCTGTGCTTGGGTCTGCCTAGCAGCAGCCTTCATAGTGGGGATATGGGTCTGTTGGGCAGAGGCCCAAAGCCGGCCCACCCCTCCCAGTTTCCAGAGCTCATCGTCCTCCTCATCCTCAGCTCACGGCCCAGAGGCGACATGCTCCCAGTCTGGGCCGCAACGGCGGTAACGCGCTCCTGCTCTCCATCTCACCCCTGCAGAGGTCTTGGTCAAGGTGGTGGAGCTGTACTTTTGTGAGCGATGCGGCCAGAGCTTCTCCGACCCCGGCCTGCTCACCCAGCACCAGTGCCTCACACTGGTAGCCCCCGAGTCCCTGGAGCTGCCAAGTGCACCCCAGCTGGCAGCACCCACCACTGAGGGACCCGGAGTGGGGCCAGGCCTCTGCCAGGAACTGCCCCAGAGGTTGCCGGAAACAAGTGGGCAGGACAGAGACGTCAACTGCCTGGGTGAGCACCTGCTGTGCCCCATCTGCCAGGCGGATTTTGCACTCCCCAGCGAACTCAAAGAGCACTTCAAGACGCACCGTAATTCCATGGTCACTCTGGCATGCCCCGCGCCAGGCTGCCCCTTCCTGCCTGGGGACCGCAGGCAGCTGCGCGGGCATGTGCGGCGCGTGCACCAAGCAATACCCATCTCCTGCATCTACCGTGCCTGCCCCCTGCTCTTCCTGAGCCACCCAGCTATGGAGGAGCATCACCGCCTCCACTTCCCCTTCCACTGCGCTCACTGCCGGTTCATCAGTGCCAACATCAAGCTTTTCCGGCAGCACACAAAGAGCCACTGCCCTGAGCCAGCGGGGGCCACAGAGATCTTCCTGGACATGGCAGGAGTCAGGGAGACCCTCCCAGAGTCAGCAGAGGCTGGGGAGCCCCACAGCCCTGGCACGCGTGACTTTGCCACCGGGACTGGAGAAGTCCCATGTGAGTGCCTCCTGCTGGACCCTAGTATCTGTTGCGGGGGGGAAGGACAGCTGAGAAGTGGCGTATGAGCAGATGCAGCAGGGAGAGGGGCTGGCTTCAACGTTGGCTGTGGTGACCCAGCACTGGTTACAGCCTCCTGACCCATCCCTGCCTGCCAGGGAGAGGTGTGCCAGACTCGTTGAGGGAGGAACTGTAGGGTTGACTCTCCCAGCTCAGTCCTCTGGCCTTAGGGCTCAGGATAGGTCTTGCTGCACTGTGCTGATGGGGCTAGGGAAAGTCCAGGAGGTACTGGGTTTCCTGGGCTGGAAGAAGAGAGCAGGATCTCTTGTGGGCCTGGGGCCCCTGCATGTGCCTTCCTGGTCTCTCCCTTTTTGGGTTCCTCTTGCAAGTTGGGGTTAGAAATGCGCCAGGTGGAGAGAGAGGAGGGATCAGGGCTGCTGCTGTGGAGCTGAGCCAGGGGTTAGTTCCCGGCAGCTGCTTCTGCTCCATGGGATGGGAAATGAGATCTCTGGGAGCAGGGTAGGAAGTGGTTCCCTGAGTCAGACAGCCAATTCACTCTTTTCCTGCAGCCGATGACAAGGCCTCCAGGGAGGCGACGTGTTCCCTTGACCCACCAGCCTGGGATGGCAGCCACAGTGCTCCCGAGGACACTGCCCATGAAGATGGACAGGCGTTGGCTGGGGAGGACGATTCTGAGAGCAGCGGGGATGAGTCTCTGGACGAGGAGGAGGGCGAGAGCACTGGTGAGGCAGTCACCAGGAAGGCCAAGGCCCCTCGGGCCCAGCGGTTCAAAGGTAGAGTCCCCCAGTGCCACGCTGGGTGCCTCCAGGATGGCCCTGTGGGCAGCCGAGTTGGTGTTCGGGCTCCCCCTGACAGCAGCACATGTGTGATGGGGGCTGGAGAACGCAACTGATGAGGCCTGGTAGGGAAGGCAGGAGTCCCTTGGTCCCACCATTTCGTGCCATGATGGCTTGAGCATGGGACCACATTGCTCTCGTGGCCAGCATCGTGAAATCCCAGTTGCCTTGGCTCAGCTGGTGCTTGGTGTGTGCCACCCTGGCTGACATGTCACAGGGCAGGGTAGGACAGTGGTGTGAACTGTGGCACCTGGCTGAATGCCCGGATGTGGGGATGAGCAGGCCTCAAGTATTTGGTGGGGGGCAGTTGGAGTGTGACCCTACAAGGTCTCCGTCCTGGGGAGCAGGAGCTGTTAGAGGTTAGGGGCCAGCTACAGCCAGGAGGCAGAGGGCTGTAAGGGACCAGGACATAGGCAGTCACCTGTGAGAGGCATGAGCTGGGGGTGGGTGGGTCAGGGACAGGAGAGAGGTTTCAGTCTGGAGTCACGGGCTAGGGTGGCCAGAGTAGGCAGCTCTAGCTGTATGTCACTGGGACATGGACAGTGACCATGCCAGATCCAGCAGCTGCTGTCAGAGGGCAGGTGTTGTCTGCATTGGGCTTGGGAGCAAGGAGTCTCAGACAGGACCCGAGTGCCAGGATGAAGCTGGTAGGTAGGACCCAGGGGCCAGGACACCGGAAAGCGACAGGATGGGACCGAAGAACAAAGAGCCCAGGGTGGCCAGAGGCCTCTGATAGGTGCTGAGCAGGCAGAGGGGCCATCGTTAGGCCACTGGTACCAGGCCACTGGGTGATTGAGGCTGCCTGGGGGCAGCTTCACCTGCCTGCTGCCCTGGTGCCTGCCGAGGGCATAAGCTGCACAGGGCTTGAGGCACCCGACCCCAACATGGCGCTGGACTTGTAGAATCCCAGAGCCATGGGGCTGGCAGGGACCTGTGGGGCCACATCCAGTCCAAGCCCTGCCTGAGGCAGGATCAGCCCCATCCAACCCAGCCCAGACAAATTTGTCCTCTAAACTATACGTAAGGTGACCACCATAGAATGATAGAGAAGGAACGCCCCCATCGCTCACATCTAGCCCAACCCCTGCCTGAAGCAGGATCAGCCCTGTCCAGACCAGACCAGGCCATAATCTAACCATAAACTAAACTCTACATAAGACAACCATCAGGCCTGGCACAGCACAGACCTCACACCCAACCCTGCACCCAGGAAAGCAGGGGGTCACAGCCGCCACCCCCCTGCTTCTATAAAAGAGTGTTGATACCCACTCCAGAGCCTCCAGACTGACCAGGGGGAAAATCCCTTCCTGCCCCCAAATGTGGTGATAAGTCTGACCCTGAGCAGAGGAGCAAGACACTCTAGCCAGGACCCTCTGGCTTTGATCCCAACAGGAGCACTTGCACAGCCCAGTCCCCATCCCCGTCCCCATCCCCAGCCTGGGCTGCAGCAGCACCCAGCACCTCTGAGGGAGGCTTAAAACCCTCCTGGCACATGAACAGCGAGGGGCGGGCAGCCAGCACAGCCCCAGCCTGGATACCCCCAGCAAAGCACAAGCATCGCTGCACCTCGACCCTCCCTGCCCGGTGCCCGTCTAGCCTGTCCTTGGACCCTCCTGTGCTGCAGAGTCCTTCCACCCTAGGAAGTCTCTTCTGCTGCCTCACTATTCTATCAGTTTTCTCTGAAGGTCTCAGGCTGCTCAGTCCTGTGTTTGAAGGGCCACGAGGTCTGACCTAAGCTACCTAGTCCTGTGCCCAGGGAGGGCCAGGTGCCTTTGGCCTGCAAGGTGCACTGGGGACCTGGTACCCTGAGTCCAGGTTGCCCATGTGGATAGGCACTCCTGCCTCGGGGACAACCAGCTGGTGCTCAGAGCAGGCAGCCTGGTCCAAACCCTGCTGCCTCAGGGTCTGGAGGGGGAGTGACTCTAGGGCTCTGACATGCCAGCTCCCTGAGCCCCTACAACGCGATGTGGCTTGAGATGATGACTACAGGGGCACACGTGTGCGGTGGGAGCAGCCAGAGAGCTTTAACAGAGCTGTCAAAGTCAGCACTAGTCCAATTATAAAGCACACACCAGCGTGTTCAGGGGGCCGGTCTCAGCTCCTGCCCCCTCAGTGTGGACTGGAGCATTGGTGGTTGGTCGAAGCGGATCGTGCCTGTACGAAGTGTTACCAGAGCGGGAGCCGAAGTCAAGCCAGGCATCTGCCAGTGCAGTGGGGTCAAGCGCTAGCAGTGGGAGGGTTTCCTCTGGTCGCTCATCCTGCTCCTACGCTGCTGGTCTTGCTCGGAGTAGCACCCTGTTCTTGCTGGCCATGCTTGAGCTGTTACCTCTGGGGGGTTGTCTGTAGGGAACCAGACTGTGAGCTCGGTGCCCTGCCTTGCCCTGCCTGGCTGTGTCTCAGTTCACTGGGTCCCTGGCAGCCAAATGGCCACAGCGAACAGCCACTCACATGCAGCTCTCCCCCAGGCTGCTCACAGAATCAGCAGTGGGGCTGGAAGGGATCTCCAGAGGTCACGTGGAGTCCAACCCCCAACCCGGGGCAGGATCAGGCCTGTCCAAACCCACCCAAACAAATCCCATGTGCGACCTTGGACCTGCACGATGCCCCTGCCCTGTCCTCGAGAAAGTGGGGGGACCAGGACTGCCAATGTCCTGCTGCTGCCAGGGGGTTGGTGGGTGGTGTAGAGAGCCCAGGCCGTGTCCCCGCTGCAGAGGGAGAGGAACCCCCCAGGCTGAGCAGGGGACAGATCCCTGCCTGCCCCCTTCCCCAAGGCAGTGTGAGTGGGGGGCAAGAGCCTGTAGCCTGCGGGGCTGTGTCTCAGCAGGAGCATTGGCACAGCCCCAACCTGGGCTGCAGCCAGCACCCAGCGCTGCTGAGGTACAGAAAAACCAATACCTGCAGCAACAGGAGGGGGGAGAGATCCCTTCCTGGCCACACGTGGCAACCAGCAAAGCCCAGAAGCCTGGAAGACCCCAGGGCCCTTGACTGGCTTGCAGCCTGAAGACAGCAAACACAGCTCAGGGTGTTGCACCCTCTGACTGGGCCGTCAGAAGGGCCCTTCTGTGCCCCCTGCATGAATTAAGAACAACTGAGCTGCCCTGTGTTGCCTCAGCCCCAGGTCCGTCCTGCCCCGCGTCCCAGGGCAGAGTGGAGCTGGAAGATGAATGCCTGGGGCCGAGCGGGGCTTTCCCCTGTTCCTCCAGCATGGAGGGTCCTGGCAGGGCTGGTGCAGAGGCCGGGCCCCTCACTCCCTGCCCCAGCGCTCCCCGCGCCCCTTTCCTCCCCACACGTGTCTGGTCCCCGGTGGATCTGGCTGCACTCTCAGCTCCGCCACATCTGGGGCCACAAGTCCCCCCCCTTGAATGCCCCGTGAGGGGACAGCACGGCCTGGGCTTGGTTGGCAGCTGCAGGCCTGCTTGTCCTGTGCCGGGACCCAGCTCTGTCTGGGCAGAGACAGGCAGGAATAAACCCCAGGGACTTTCTGTTCCTCATTCAGTGCAGTGCAAACCCTGCTCCTGTCCCCTCCAGCATCTCTCCTAGGCCTGGCCTCAGTCTCTGCTCCTAGGGAAGCTCCTCTGCAGCCCCCAGCCTCCTTGCTGCCCTGCTCTGCACCTTCTCCAGGTCTTCACTCTCCTGGGGCTGTGGGGACAAGAGCTGGGCACCAATTCAAGGTGTGGATGCCTTATGGTCTTATAAAGGGGCCTCATGATGCTTCCCATTGTGTTCACAGTTCCCTTCTTCATTGTCCCAAACCTGTTTGCCTGTTTGCTGACTGCTGAGCATGGACCTGATGTGTTTAGTGACCTGTCCCCAATGCTGAACAGGAGCCAGCAGTGCACTCTTGTTGCCAAGAAGGTGACCGGCATCCTGGGCTGCATCAGTAAGAGCAGTGCCAGCAGGTGGAGAGCAGTGATTCTTCCCCTCTGTTCAGCACTGGGGAGGCCACATCTGGAGCCCTGTGTCCAGCTGTGGGTCCCCACTACAAAAAGGATGTGGACACATTGGAGAGAGTCCAGTGGGGGCAACAAAAATGGTTCAGGGGCTGTGAGACAGGACTGGTGAAGAGAGGCTGAGGAAACTGGGCTGATTGAGTCTGGAAAAGAAGACTGAGGGGTGATTTGATAGCAGCCTTCACCTCCCTGCAGGGGGTTGCAAAGAGGATGGAGCTGGATTGTTCTCAGTGCGGGCAGATGACAGAACAAGGAGCAATGGGCACAAGTTGCAGCAAGAAAATTTGAGATTGGATATTAGGAAAAGCTTTCTCACGTGGAGGGTGGTGAAGCACTGGAACAGGCTGTCCAGAGAGGTGGTGCAGTCTCTATCCTTGGAGGTGTTTAAGCTCCAGGTAGACAAAGCCTTGGCTGGGGTGATGTATCTGGGGCTGGTCCTGCTTGGAGCCAGGGGTTGGACTAGGTGTGACCTCCTGAGGTCCCTTCCCACCCTTGCAGTCTGTGGAAGCGCTTCCTACCACTGATCATCCGTGTTGCCCTTCTCTGCACCTTCTCTAGTTGTCCAGTTGAAGGCGTGGGACCAGAGCTGGTCACCGGATTCAAGGTGCAGATGCCCCGTGGAGTTGTAAAGGGAGATCGTGATACTTTATCTCAGCCTCTTTAATCTTCCGTTTCCAAGCTGGCCGTGGCACTTTGCTTCCCTCTCTCGCACCTGGGCATGGTCCTCTCCCATCTCCCACTGCTCTGGGTGGCACAGCTCTCTTTGGGATCTCCCAGCTGGGGAGTCATGGGCAGGCCCTGGGCTTCCCCCAGGTGCAGGCTGATGCCCATTTACTTTGCAGGGGATGTGGCGGAGGGCTCGGAGTCCCTGTTCAAGACCCACATGTGCCCCGAGTGCAAGCGCTGCTTCAAGAAGCGGACGCACCTGGTGGAGCACCTGCACCTGCACTTCCCCGACCCCAGCCTGCAGTGCCCCAACTGTGGGAAGTTCTTCACTAGCAAGAGCAAGCTGAAAATCCACCTGCTGCGGGAGACGGGCGAGAAGGCCCACCAGTGCCCTCTGTGCCAGTACCGCTCGGTGGAGAGGAACGCCCTCAACCGCCACATGGCCAGCATGCATGAGGGCATCTCCAACTTCTACTCAGATGTCTACGCCTGCCCCGTGTGCCAGGAGCCCTTCAAGCTCAGCCAGGCCCTTAAGGAGCACCTCAGGAGCCACCAGACCGAGCCCAAGCAGCTTAGCTGCTTCGAGGGCGGCTGCGACTACGGCACAGAGGACCGCAAGGACTTCACGCGGCACCTCAAGGAAGCCCACAGCCTCAAGGCAGTGGAGTGCACGTACCATGCCTGCTCGCTGCTCTTCGGCACGGCCGAGGCCATGGAGACCCACCGCAAGACCCACTACGCCTTCCACTGCCAGCAGTGCGACTTCATCTGCTCCAACAAGCACGTCTTCCGCAAGCACAAGCGCCAGGGCCACCCCGGCAGTGAGCGGCTGCAGTGCGGCTTCTGCCCCTACACCACCTTCAACCCCGTAGAGTTCCACGACCACCTGGGCAAGATGCACGCCCATGAGAAGATCCACAAATGCAGCGAGTGTGGCTTCGCCACGGCGCACAAGAGGGTGCTGATGCGCCATGCACTCCTGCATACTGGTGCGTGGCCCCAGCCGGGGGTGGGGGAGGTGGGAATCAGGGCCTTCTCTAGTGACCTGCCACTGCCAGGGCCACACCGACAGCCAGACTCCTGGGTTTCACCCCTGGCAGTGGGAGGGGTGCAGGGTGTGGTGAGCCAGGAGGAAAGGGGGTGCCCTCCCCAGCGTGGGGGGTCGAAGGCTTTCTTGCCAGGGCTCTTGGGGCTGGCACCGACCTGCCATAGGGCCTGCGGGTCAGTCATGGTGCAAGCAGATGGTTGCCGTGTCTAGCTCTAGCAGTATGCCAGCTCCATCCCATGGGGCCAGCGCATGTGGGCACGAGCATTTGCACACCTCTGACCTGGACAGAGGGCCACAAGGGCTTTGGCACAACCCAGGAACCCAGCACATTGCAGCCAGGGCCTGGCACCTTCCTGCCTCCTCTTGGGGGTGTCTGCATTGCTGGGTGCCAGTCAGCGGGGATACCAGGATCGTCCTGGGTCAGACCATGGGTCAGTCTTGCCCGTGGCAGAGAAGCCTGCCTTGGGGACAGCTCGGGGGCTAAGGCTTCTGATCCCAGCAGCCACGGCTGCTTTAGGGCTTCTTCTCCCCTGTGCCCCAGAGGGTCTCTGTCCCGGGACGCCAGTGCCCCATGACGGCTGCCCCTTCCCCAGCAAGGCTGGGCCAGGCTGTCCTGCCCCCCTACCTGCCCCTCTGGTAACAGGCTCCTTCCCACAGGGGAGAAACCTCACAAGTGCGAGCAGTGCGACTTCACATGCCGGGACGTGAGCTACCTGTCCAAACACATGCTGACCCACTCCAGCGCCAAGGACTTCATGTGCACAGAGTGTGGCTATGTCACCAAGTGGAAGCACTACCTCAACGTGCACATGCGCAAGCACACTGGGGACCTCAGGTACCACCCAGAGCAGCTGGGGGGAGGACTGAGCCGGGTAGTGGAGCCCAGAGGGGCACCAGGTGGGGCTGGCAGCACCTTGATACATGCCAGCCTTGTCGTGGGGTCACCTGTGTGGCCCTGGGGGGTGACCCCAGGCCCCCTATGTGGGAGCAGCACAGAGGTGTTCGGGTCCAGATGGGCTACCCAGGCCTCATGCCTAGCCGCTGGATGGACCTTTTGAGGCCCAGAGCCTGGTGCCTGACTCCTTGCATGGACGGGGCAGCACAGAGGCACGCGGGAGGGACTGGGGAAGCACACTGAAAGGCAGAGCTGGGCCCAATCCTGAGGGGATCCAGGGAGGGGCAGAGGGGCTGCTGTGACCCGGCTCTGGCCATTTCTTCCCCCCCTTCTACTCCTGGCAGGTACCAGTGCAACCAGTGCTCGTACCGGTGCCACCGGGCTGACCAGCTGAGCAGCCACAAGCTGCGGCACCAGGGCAAGAGCCTGATGTGTGAGGTGTGCGGCTTCGCCTGCAAGCGCAAATACGAGCTGCAGAAGCACGCGCAGGCCAAGCATGCACAGGGCTACCAGCCACCTGTCTTCCAGTGCCGCTACTGCAGCTACCAGAGCAAGTATAAGCAGGCGCTGCGCAGCCACGAGAACTGCAAGCACACGCAGCAGCGTGAGTTTCGCTGCGCCCTCTGCACCTACTGCACCTTCAGCAACACCAGCCTCTTCTTCCACAAGCGCAAGGCCCATGGCTATGTGCCCGGCGACAAGGACTGGCTGCAGCACTATGCCAGCAAGGAGCAGGAAGCCGGTGCACCCCATGGGGCCACAGCTTGTCATGCTGGGGAGGAGCCGTGGCAGGGGGCCAGCTCGGAGCCCCCAGAGGAAGAGGAAGATGGTGAACCAGCTGGTGCAGAGCCCCTGCCGGAGCTAACCATAGGGCAGCAGGAAGGTGGCGTGAACGTGGCGACAGAGGAGGGTGGGACATCCAGTGAGGCCGTGGATGGCTGCACACTGCACTTGGAAACACTGGAGGTCTCGGCGCAGGTGGTGCTGGAGGCCACGGCCCCTGCAGAGGCTCTGGGCTGCAAGGACCCTGGAGCTGGGTATGGCATCCTGAGTGCCGCCGAGGCCTTGGCACTAGAGGACGGCACCCCTGGGCTGGAGGACATCGCTGACTTTGAGGAAGAGCCGGACGTGGCTGGGGCACCCGAGGGCAATGTGGACAGCCCCAGCCTAGAGGGGGGCCCAAGCCGGGACCTGTTGGAGAGGCCTGGAGATCCCGTTGCAGGGCAGGACCCTGCTTCACCCACGGCCACTGGGACGGGAGAGGAGAGTGGCCAAACCACGACAGCAGGGATGGAGGAGGGTGGTGGCAAGCCCGGGGACGAGCCAGCGGCAGAGTGGGAGTTGCGGGCGCTGCGGCAGCAAGACAAGGAGCAAGCGGAGACACTGGTGCTGGAGGGACGTGTGCAGATGCTGGTGGTGCAGACAGAGCGCCAGGTGTTCACCTGCCGTGCCTGCCCCTACGTTACACGCAAGGAGCGTGCACTGGCCCTGCATGCCAAAGCTGGCTGTCAGGCCCGGCGCACCCCCCTCCTGTGCCATGGCTGCGGCGCCAGCTTCAAGCAGCAGCGCGGCCTCAACACCCACCTGCTTAAGAAGTGCCCCATCCTCCTCAAGAAGGGCCAGACGCCCAAGCTGCTGGGGCCGGAGCAGCCCAGGAATCCCCCACAGGGCCCCCAGTCTGTGGCCATGGAGGACAGCACAGGTGTCCTGGAGGCAGCAGAGGGGAGCCCGGAGCCTGGGGCCACAGAGGATGGCACGGAAGGGGCAGGGGGGGGCCAGGTCCCGGAGCCCCCCTTGGAAGCGGAGCCAGTGCCTGTGCTCCCAGGCAGCCCCCTCCCTGAGGCTGTGCTTCTGGGAGCCAGTCCAGCCACAGTGCTCCTGGCCCCTCCAGCTGTGGGCGAGATGGCACCGGAAGGTGCCGGTGCCCCCGTGAAGCCATTGGAGAAGTACCGAGCGGAGCAGGGCAAGCTGCGCTGCAATGCCTGCGCCTTCAGCTGCTCCCGCCTGTCCACCATCACCTCACACGTGGCGGATAGCTGCCGGGGCCCAGCGCGGCTCCGCTGTGCCCTGTGCCCCCAGGGCTTCCACTCCCGGCGGGCGCTCAAGAGCCACTGCGCCCAGCAGCACGGCCAGCCCCAAGAGGCTGAGGGGCCTGGGAATGCTGGCCTGCGCCCCCGGCGCCGCCTGTCCTGCCCCAGCTGCCCCTTCACCTGCCAGCAGGAACGGGCCCTGCGGACACATGCGCAGCAGGGCTGTGGGACACGACGTGGCTCTGTCCCCCCACCCCCCTCCTCCGCTGCGCCCCCCCTGCGGCGGCACCGGCGCCCCCCCCGTGGGCACTACAGCCAGCGCCCAGCACTGCAGTGCAGGCAGTGCGAGTTCACCTGCAAGCAGGCCCGGTGCCTGGGGCAGCACGTGCGCGTGAAGCATGAGGGCCTCAAGCCGCACCAGTGCCCCTACTGTGAATTCAGCACCACGCGACGCTACCGCCTGGAGGCCCACCAGTCGCTGCACACGGGCGTGGGGCGCATCGCCTGCGGCAGCTGCAGCCAGACCTTCGGCACCAACTCCAAGCTGCGGCTGCACCGGCTGCGAGTACACGAGAAGACGCCCACACACTTCTGCCCGCTCTGCGACTACAGCGGCTACCTGCAGAATGACATCACCCGCCACATCAACAGTTGCCATCGGGGCGAGCCGCTCTACCCCTGCGCCCGCTGCGACGCCCGTTTCAGCTCGCCCACTGCCCTCAAGCAGCATTCACTGCGCCGCCATGCTGAGCCCGCTGCCTGCCGCTGCCCCCACTGCGGTCTGCAGTGCCGCAGCCTGGCCACGCTGCGGGGTCATGCCCGGCGCCAGCACCCGCCTCGGCTCGAGTGCGGGGCTTGCCACGAGGCCTTTGCGACCCGCCGCGACCTGGAGACGCATCGCCAGCAGCAGCACTTCAGCCACCGCTGTGGACTCTGTGGGTTCGCTGCCCGCGAGCGCCAGCAGCTGGTGCGGCACTACGTGGACAGCCATGAGCCACCAGCTGCTGCCCCTGCTGCTGACCGGCCCCTGGCCTGCCCCTCTTGCGACTTCACCTGCCGCCACCAGCTGGTCCTGGAGCACCACGTCAAGGGCCATGGCGGCACCCGTGTCTACAAGTGCTCTGACTGTGCCTACACCACCAAGAACAAGCAGAAGATCACGTGGCACATCCGCATCCACACAGGCGAGAAGCCTTACAAGTGCCACCTCTGTACTTACACCTGTGCTGACCCCTCTCGCCTCAAGGTGAGCCTGCATAGGGAGCCCGGAGGTGCCCTGGGGCAAGGAGGGGGACCCCCTGGGGCTGTGCCTGTCTTGGAACCAGCTGCTTTGTGGCTGCAGGCCCACCGATCCCATGCATCTGTCAGCCAAGACCCCAATCTGATGGGTCTATTATGATTAAGAGGCCTTTGGGTAGGGCCATGGGGCCACCCACTGGGAGTGCTGAGCTGGGCACCTCAGCCCTGAGCTTCCCTAGGCCACTGCTCACACCCCAGGGGGTTGATGGCAGCTCCCGAGGTATGGCCAGCAAAGGCAGGGTTCTGTGGCACCTCCAGATGCGTGGGTCTAGCTTCCCCGCAGCTTCTGGCAGGCAGCTGGGCCCTGCTGCATTGTTTTGGCTGGGGGGAACCCAGGGGTGGGAGCAGGCACCGGGAGGGACAAGCCCAGCCCCTGGTAGCTGTAGACATGAGCAGTGTAGCTGGGTATGGGAAGGCAGGTGGGTCCTAGGCCACAAGCTCTGACCCGGTCTCTGCCCTGTGCTCCCCTGGAGCCATGGTTGAGTCCTTTACCGTCCCGGCTGGGCAGTGGGTGGCCGGTCCTGGCTTCTCCCTCCATGAGCACAATCCTGATGCTCTCACCCCATCTGAGGCAGGTGTCTGGGCACTGAAGTGAAGCCCATCCCAGTCATGGGCTCTTCCAGGAACCGGTCCTTGTGGCCAGCAGAGCCCAAACCAGCTCAGCATGGGCTGCTTGTGATGCCACGTGGCATCAGCTTTACATTCTGCCTCCCCATATCACAGACACTCGCCCTTTCCATTGCTAATAGACATGGGGCAGGCACAGTCTTGGCCCCAGGGGCAGTGCCTCAGTGCATCTGCCCCAGAAGAGACAGCAATGGGCAGCTGAGGGTGCGCTGGGGGGGAACCACCAGCCACTGACCTGCCTACCCATCTCCACCCAGTACCACATGCGAATCCACAAGGAGGAGCGGAAATACCTGTGCCCTGAGTGCGGTTACAAGTGCAAGTGGGTGAACCAGCTCAAGTACCACATGACTAAGCACACAGGTGAGTGCCAGGTGCGTTGGGGGGGGGGG